TGTGTTTATTTTTATGTGACAGGCTTGATGGGAAAGGGGACATTGTAGCTTGAAGTTGGATAGTATGAGAGTGAGGTTCATGGGCCAGAGACTAGAGGCAGAAAATTTAATGTCCTCAGTCTGGCTAAGAGATTAGTTAGGACCGAAGTTCTCAAAACTCCAGTGAGATACTACCTAGCAAGGTAGCTAGAGAGGCCAATGAGCACTCTGAAAAAATACAGGCTACTGTAACTATGAATATCCGGGTTTTTTTTTGTAGGCAGGAAGAATCACTAAATAAATACTCTTTTGTCAAGTGTGCAGAAATTGGTGACTGAAAGTTTTGGCTATGAAGTGTGGTTACCCGGGCTCTAAGCTCTGGCTGTGCCACTTTCAAATATTTGCCCTTAGTCTTGACTCTGTTTTCATCTCCTTACATAGTATGTGTATATGTGTGTGTGGTGTGTGTGTGTGTACATATATGCATGTATTTATAGTGTTATCTACCTTGGAGGTTTGTTTTGATGATTGAATCAAATAATTAACTCACTCACCCTTAACATAAAATTTGTTCTAAATGATCACTTGATGAAAACTCGGGGTTTTCATCCCTTTTTATTTATTCATTTATTTCTGCCTAAACTTCAGGAAAAGGAACCTCACTCGTCAAACGTGTTCCATTTCCATTTATGTATTCACTCAACACAGCGTTTAATGAGTTCCTACCATATGCCATGGATGCCAAAAAGGCAAGGTGGGGGCAGACTCGCAATCAGACAAAACAAGACCAAAGCTACTGACAAATTGTTCCCATTTGAATGAACTCATCTGAAGCTGGCCACAACCACTAAAGGGGAGGTTAAGAGCTGCTGAGATCACAGATAACTTAGTGTTGAGATTCAGGAAGCACGTGGGAGAGGGAAGCAAGCTGGATCACCGGTAGGAATCTCAGACTGCTGGATGCAAGCAGGGTGGGCAATCAACAGGAGGGAGAGAGAGACACGTGAAGGGCAGTGGTGGAAAGGCTGGTTCATCAATCTGCTTATATCCCCCTAAGACCACAGGACACAGAGGCTCTTGGGTTCACAGCCCAGAATCTCTCGTACACAGTGTCCTTTCTGAGGAGATGCTGAGGTTCCTTGTCTTTCTCACCCAGAGAATCCAGAGGAGTATGTGTCATGCTAGGGTACTAGCTCCTCAGCAAGATATAGGGCCTGCTTCATGGGTCACTGATGAGGAAGTCCTGTGTATATGTCAATAAAACACCGTTGGCCAATAGGGAAGCAAGATAGGTGGGACTAGGAGTCAAGGAAGATTCTGGGAAAGAGAGGCAGAGTCAGTCATGACGTAGCCGCCATAGGAATAAAAGGTACGGACCCTTTTCTCCAGTAAGAGAAATACTTAGATTAGCAATTATGGATTAAATACTTAAGTCAGAGATAGCCAGTAAGAAACCAAGCAAACGGTTAACAGCTTCATAATTAATATAGCCTCCTGTGTGTTTATTTGGGACTGATGCGTCTCTGGAACCAGGCTGGCTGGAAGACAACACTCTACAGGCCACTTTCTCAACTTGGTCTGCTCATAAGCATCAAGGGTTTAGACACAGGTATTCATGTGTCGTTTTAAAGGTGTTTGTAGGAAATGAGAGCATCAAAGGGCAGAAGTTGCAGAATGGGTCCTAATTGATGAGCTCATCTCATGTTGTCTCGTGTAGCGTTTGTCAACCTGAAAGGGATGCTTATGTCATTTTAAGTGTGCTTAGAGAGAAGCTCCTTAGAGTGTTGGGGCCCATAAAGGTGGTTCCGATTCATCTTGCCTCAAGGTCAGAGAGTTCAAAACTGTCCTTAATAAGTCAAAAGACCTAAAGGTCTAAGGTTTGTCTACTTCAGGATGTTTTGGCCTTGGTAAAGGACGTCTTATCTAAGTAACAACAGACTTTGGCTCAGGTGTGTTTACTCTTGTCTCTGAAGGTGTGGCTACCAAATGCTTGGAGGATGAAGGGAAGTAAGTCTGTTTGCTCCTTATACATGATAATAGAAGCCTTCTGCCATGTTCCCCCTTTTGGTTGGGATACTTAAGAATGTTGAAGAATAAACTTGGGGCATTCAGTATTCACTGAATTTTCCTCATGACTCGATCCTGTGTCTGTGTCTTTCTCCTAATGTCTTTATCTACCCTTTCTTAATCCACACTCACCCTCTCAGGTATGAACTGGACAAGTTGGCTAGTTCCAACTGTAGTCCCACAGACATGGGTTCCCACATTAGAGTATGAGGAAAAATGACCTTCTTCGGACATGGCAACATTTCTTCTCAAGGCCTAGTATGTGGGAAGACCGAGAGTAATGGTCACCTGACGTCAACATTAAGGTCCATGGCAAAATAACATATTTTTACTATGATGACAACCTTTATCTGCCTTGATGTTGTCTGTTTTGCCCAGATGTTGGTTGTGTATTTCAGGCTGTATTCCTCCCGTTTATTGATGAGTGTGCTGAAGAAGACCTAGTTTGTCTTAGTAGAGTCAAGATATATCATACCAAGACATGCCACTCTGATGAGAAAATTTGGTTAGCCCGAACAAACATTTCCAAATGTTGTCCTAAATCTTGGTGTCTAAAAGTAGGTCTTATGGATATTGTTAGGATATTTCCAGTCTGAACAATCGTGTAAATGCTCACAACTGACCCAGTCTTTCAAGCATCGTAGGTTCTATACAACACAGGGTCTTGGGGTAGATTTCTACTCTAGACAGTTTCTTTGGAGCTCTTTCCCCAGTCCATAATTGACTGTGGGGGACGAGTGTCTACAGTTCATAAGTTAACAGGAAGTCCTGGCCTCTATCTGTGAGGATGATTCATCAAACCTTCACCAAACTTCAAGTCTGTTGGCCTAGATGTACAGATCCTAAATGTATACTAGTCTATTATGCCATTTGCCCAGTGTCCTTGTCCTTCTGTTCTGGTGTGACGAAGTTAAGGCATCATTGGTAAGTGTGTCGTGGTGTGGATGTTCAGGTGACACAGAAGAGAACATGTACCCTGGCTTTTGCTGGTACAGATTAACTGAAGTGTGGTTGACCAAAGGTAATAACTGTGGTGGCTAGTCTTGTCCACCTGACATGTTCTAGAATCTTCTGGAAAGACAGCTTCAGTGAGGACTTGTCTAGATCAGGTTGGCCTGTCAGCATGCCTGTGAGGGATTTTCTTTAATCGGGTTGAGGTAGGAAGACTGACTGTGGACATTAGTGGTGTCATTTCCTGGGCCTTGCAAAGGGGAGTTCAAGCTGAGCACTGTTGTCCATGAATAGATCCTCTGCTCTCTGCTCTTGCTGGTGACTCCAATGTGAAGCCCTAGTTCCCCCATGACAGAGAACCTGCACCTGGGATTGTGAGCCATATAAACCCTTCCTCCCTTAAGTTGCCTTAGTTCAAGGTTTTGGTTTTTTTTTTTTCACAGTCCCAGGAAACAAAATTAAGACACTCACGTTAACCTGCTAGAGAAAGGCAGGGTCGTGAATTAATGAAGCATATCCATAGAGAAGTGTATGTAAAGGGTCAAAATTAGTATACACACTTCTAGGAATAGGTAATGACAAAATGCGTAGACCAGAAGAAGCATAGAAAAGCTTACAATGCGTGTGCACAATTGGTATGCACAGATATCCTAATATTTATTCTTCACGGTTATCCAGACGAGTAACGGCGGAGCTGGTATCTTTATGATGGGTTCAGGGAGCACCAGCACGGACTTCTAAACGGAGTTTGGGACTTGTGCAGATGTGAGGGAATAAGAAGCGGCAACACGTGTTACTGCAGAAGCCTCAACTTTGCCTTGCTTCTTCCTTGCCCTCCTCCCAGGATCCAGTTGGTCCCCGGAGAGCACACTTCACTGCACATACCAACAGGGACAGAATGCAAATATTTCCCCTCACCTCAGGGGAGTGCTGGGAAACACTCTCCTGGAAAGGAAACTAATTTATTTGGTTGCTAATTATTTTGGCTCTAGTTTTAATGAGCCATCCACTATAAAAGATAAAAAGGGTAATAAAGCTTCTCTCTCTCTCTCTCTCTATCTCTCTCTCTCTCTCTCTCTCTCTCTCTCATACTCTCTGTCTGTCTGCATAGAGCGATAAAAGGAATGAAAAACAGTGTGTGGTGGTCAATAATCATGGACTCTGATCTCAGACTGTGTGTTTGTACCCTTGTTTATTAGGCATGTCACATGTCACCTGGGGCCAATTTCTTGTCGTTCCTATGCCTTAGAATCCTTGTCCACAAAGTGAGAGTAGCGATAGTCTCTCTCTCTCAAACTATTGCGGTGAGTGTGAAAGAGTGAACCATGGCCATTACTGTTGTTATAGTGTTGTTGCTCAGGGATGTTGAGAAGGAAGGGGTAGATAGTGGATGACATGAACAGATGGTGGAATGGAACCTTCTAAATGAGCCCAGGGAAATTGCCTAGGAGATGTGGTATGTGTCTGTGGGTGTTTGCACACATAAATGTTGTGTGTGTGTGTGTGTGCGCGCACGCGCGCACGCGCGCACATGCTTGTGTGTTGGGGAAGGATGGGAACAAGGCATTGGGGCACAGACAATGCCTGTTGAAAGAAGACCCTCATGGAAGACTTCTCTTTTGTAACTCCAATAATACATTTTCTTTCTAGTAGCCAACCTTTTGGACCTCACATAACATAGAATCTACTTTAGCCTGCACCCAGGGGACTAGCCCATTGCCTCTGGGACCTCTACAAAACAAACTATTATTGTATCTGCTGTAGCAATTTTCTTCACCAGGTGACAGTCCAATAGAAGCAAAGACTGTTGATCCCACATGAATTTGGTTTGTTTTCTATTAAATTATCCTAGTGTTAACAACTATGAACCTTGAAAACAAATAACAAACAACAAACAAATCCCCCCAAACAGTTGCCTCAAGATGAGGATTCTGAGCATTCAAAGGTTGGGGTGGGAGGAAGGAGAGGAACTCCTTTTGCAAGAACTGATTGTTCACGGACAGGTTTTCCGGTGCAGTACTCAGCGGTGTGGTTCCTGGGTCTGCAGTATCATTATCATCAGGACTTGTAAGACGTGCAGAGTCTCTCATGCCATCCAAGCCCCTCTGAATGAAGATTGCCCTGAACAACGGACTCATTTGCACGGTGAGTTCCAGAAGCTCGACCCCAGCAGGCTTCAATGGATCAAAGGCTCTGGAGAAACTATCTTGCCATTGAGTGGTGAATTGGTTTTAGAAGCTTGGGTTGGATATTTTCCTATACAAAGAGAAGGGGAAGGCAGATATGACGCCAATGGGTATGGTAATCACAGATAAACTCTCTTGTCTGAATTAGTGACTGAAGGAGTATGTGAAAAAAATGTATGCGACCCTTCATTTTAGGGTCTTTAAAGCAGTCAGAAATGGAAGTTAAAGATGCTTCTGGAAGTAACGAGCTAACGGAGGTGGAGTTCTTCCAAGGGTGTTTGGCTCAAAGGCAAGGAGACATGAGTTTTTGCCATGTGTGTCTTTATGAAGAAGGGTGCTCCAAGGGCCCTGGAGCCCCGAGAACAGCCATTTTGAGTGGAGGAGATAGCATTGTCCTGTAAGCTGCGGGTTGGATTCCCTCCAGCTCCTTAAGCATCAGGGTCACACCTGAGTCGGAGCAGCTGCATGCTAATCGCCCCGCCCAGGCACTGATGCACACCTTCTGGTTTATACCCTTGTTCAGCTCACAGGTTACATGTCATTCTTCCCAGCAGATTGGGCCTTGGATTTGGAGCTTCCGTCTAGTCTGCAGGCAGGCATTAGGCAAACCTTTAGCTACGCTTGAGGGGCTAGAGAGGTTAAATTTGAGAGAGGAAGAAACTTTCCCTTGTGTATCCCATTTCTGTTCCTGAATGGTTGTCACAACAGACAGAGGTTGTGGCGCCTGCATTTACCTCGAGGTAAGAAACGGGCTGGCTGTATAATTATGCTAATGCTTCTCAGGGTGTTTCTTTTTTTTTCCCTCTGCTTACACCACATGTGCACGGGCTCCTGCTTGCTTGAGTATCCCGTTAACAGCCAACTAGCACACGCACACACACACACACACACTCACACACACACACACACACACGCTGATAAAAACAGGCACAGGCTGGCTGACACACTCATTAAGACCATCCAAGGTGACCTCACTGATTCACATGGCTGCCACTTGCCATGCTTTGTTTCCCAGTGCAGTGGGCAGGCTTCCAAATACATAGCAGCTCACTTGTAATAACCTCATTGCCTTCATTCGAAGCTCCAAATGGGAGACGCACGTTTCCCTGTACATCTTGCCTTGCCTGTTTCCTTGATGGTGACTATGCTCCCACTATTGCTTAATTTGCTTCCTCCTCCACTAACTTTCACGCGTGTACACACACACACACACACACACACACACACACACACACCTGCTAGTCACTTTGTATCAAGAACTAAGGAGTAGTACCCCTTAGTTGCAGTATGGTGTTGTAGTTTCCTCTATATTGAAATGTTCCCTCTGGAGAGGCGGAGAATGGGAGTGAGCGCCAGGATGTTATACAATAGGTCACAAGTCTAAGGGAATAGAACTTGAGAGGTTCTTGAGGGCCCCTCCCAGCCAGCTGGAGACATTGGAGACTCTGAGCAACCCAGCTGCAGAGGGGAGAAATTCTCTGACAGTGCAGGAGTCACCAGGAGAAGAGATGTCTGCCTGCAAGCTATGCTCAGAGGTCCATTGCTGCAGCTTCCACGGATCTTCTATATTAGGGTGGGCTTTTCGGTGACACAACTGCTGTGGAGTCTTCCCTGCTCCTTGTAAGTAACCCCTCAACCATGCTCATGTTATTAACAGTGAAAACCCCTCATCAGGATTATACCCTCTGCAAATATAAAAAATATTATGAAGGTTTTAATTAGTTTGCATCATATCACACATTTCTGACACATACATCTAGCCTGCTACTTGGGTTAGAACAAACAGTAATCTAAAGGAATGCAATGATTAACTAATTAATCCAACATTATTGAAACACTAAAAATAAGGTTTGTCATGTTTATATTCAGTGAGTGTCTTCTTCAAATTGAAAGGTAAATTTTTGTTTCTTTGGTGTTTGAATGGACAGGGATAAAAAATTATAGATCATTCAAACAGTAAAGCTTCAAGTATCTCTCTCAAAGAAATTAAAAATCAAAACACTGGTTCAATGAGTTAGACCTTGGTGCAATCCTTACTTTGGCCTGTGGTGGGTTCCCGGGAATTTCTGGAGTGAACAGATGTTGCATTTCCTCAGGAAAACTCTATCACACAACATCTAGGCTCCATGCTTTCCCTGACTCTAGGACTCAGTACCATGGCTGATCATCTTGAAGGTCATGTCTGGAGGAAGCCATGATGCTATAGTGACAACTACAGAGGGGCCTCAAGTGTCTTCGTTGAAGTACTGGGTCTCTATCCGAGGCACTGTCAACTGACCTTCAGCAAATCTCTTGCTACTTCAGTTTTTCTCATCTGCAAAATAAAAAAATACCTTGTCTTACTTGCTGCCCAGGGTTGTGATGAGAGAGTGCTCTGTGCTCTGTAAAGTGATACACAGTGTAGACACTGTAGGGAGTGATAAATTGCCGAAGTCTGTCTGAATGGTCTTTCCAACTAGGGAGGCGGTACTGAGACAGTCCCACAAGCCTGACCCCGAAGCAGCAGTGTGCAGCTGAGTTAGACACACAGCAGGATCCCCAGTGATGCACACGCTTGGACTTCACCGACCTACTCAGGTAAGATGAAATTTCAAGCATAGGAAATGTCTGTGCAACCAGGTTTGAGAGCCATTGATTTAATGCCAAGGAACTATTATTTCCTGTGATCTCAAATTCTGTCTATGACAGGGTCCCTCACATCTGATGCCTGAGGTGTCTCGTAAGGCATTATGGAGTCTGGAAGAGACTGTCCTGCTGAGATCCTCTTATTAGACTTGACAAATACACCTTCTAGTCTTGACTCCTATGTTAAATGGAAGAAATCTCAGATACCACTGCTTGAAATGGACTCCTGAATTAGTGACTTGGCACTCCGATTCCTGGAACCCACACAAAGGTAGAGAGAGACAGCCTATTCACTAAAGCAGTCCTCTTACCTTCACATTAAACACATGCTTGCTCACGGGCTCACACACACACACACACATACACACACACGCACGCACATACACACATGCACACACACATGCACATACACATGCACATACACACACACGCACATATACACACACATACACACACACACACACAAATAACTAAAGTAATTACAAAGCAAGTGAATTTTGGATAACTATATTTAACTCTCCCAAGCCCCTCTCTCTAAGCATGAACTGGGACAACACTGAACTTCATCCTTTGCTCTTTGGAACCCTTAGTAGGAAAGGAAGAGAGGAGAGAGGGGCACAGAGAGGAGCAGCGCAAGCAGGCTCTCTCCTGGTGCTCAGATGCTTCCGTTGTTCCTTTCTGCTGGCCCTGCCTAGGCTCTGGGCCTACAGGGAAACTACGAGGTGAGCACCTAGTTTCATACAAAAGGCCTCACGGCTCACCCAGGATGAGCGGCTGTTTCAGAGCCACAGTCCTCAGCAGTGCCCTCAGGAGTGCTGGGGGAGTCGAAAGAGGGCCAGAGAGAGGAGGAGATAAAAGAACCCAGAACCTATCCAAAATATGTGACTCAGAATGAGAGAAACAAGGCGAATTCCCAGAAGGCATCCTTTTTATTTGTCTTTATTTATTTCACTTTAGTTTGTCAGGGGGATGAGGTAAGAACATCTGTCTCCCCCTCACAGAGGCACGTTCTTTCAGGTAAGATGGAGAATGCTGGGCCAATGGGTATCAGCAAACTTGCTTTAATCTATTTCTGGGGTAATGGACTTGCACAGCGGCCTCAAGTGCCTCCGTTCTGCTTTTTCCAGCAGAAATGCATTAGAGCTGTTCTCAGATATATGCTCCCTTTGAGGAAGGGACAACAGAACCTTCTTAGAGAGGGACAGGGTAGAAAAAAAGAAAAGATTAAGCCCTTTCCTTAATCTAGCAGGAAGAAAAGATGAAATTACCTCAGTGCACGCTCCCACAGCTATAAACAGAAACGTTAGGGAGAAAGTAGTTTCTCCATGACTGAAAGCCATTTAGGATACAGAACTTGGGTTCTATATTTCCCTGGTTGCTTTAACGCAGTGAGATTTGGGCTCTAGGGGGAACAGATCTAAAAATACTATTCATTCAAAGGCAAGTGCCAGTGATGGAAGAGGCCTGCCTCTCCCCGAAAGGAGAAAGGGAATATGAAATCTTAATGCCCTCATTTCTAAGCTCTAAATCAAAGTCAGACTTTGGAATACTGTTTTTTATTTGTGTTTTTAATAGGCAGTGCAGAGGAGGGGTAGCAAAGTTTCAAATGGTGTAAAAGAGTAAGGAATCAAGAAGCTGGCCTTTTTCATAACTCATCACCACCACTCCAGCCTCTGATCAAGCTCCCTGTGGATCTCCCCAAATAATCCCTTCATATTGACATGTGAGCCCTCAGGCATGTCTGTATGCATGCACACACATGTTCACACACCTTCCAATTCCATTCTTTGAACACAAATGGCTGTGATATTCACCCGTCTTGCTGGCCCTTACTTCTCTCACTCGAAACGATCCTGCAGAGATAACCCCCTATTAGAATGTAAAGCATACCTCCTTCTTTTGGTTTTTCAAGATAGGGTTTCTCTGTGGCTTTGGAGGCTGTCCTGGAACTAGCTCATGTAGACCAGGCTGGTCTCGAACTCACAGAGATCCGTCTGCCTCTGCCTCTGCCTCCTGCGTGCTGGGATTAAAGGCGTGCACCACCACCGCTGGGCAAAACAACTTTAGTAGCTGCATGTAAGTTCATCAAGGAAGCACCGTTAGGCATATTCATTCAGTTCTCACTAAATGTGGGGATAGATATATTAGCATACACACCTGAATACATAAAATATTTCTGATTCTTGTTATAAATTCATGATATAAAGTTCCATGATATAAATTGCTTCTTGCAGTCTCTGGCTGTTCCTGGTTACACACTGCACCCAGAATGAGCAAGGACCTTAGCAGGCCTAACTGTATTTTACTCTTGAAGTATTAGCTGTGGGCCAGAGGGCATTGCAGGTTTCTAGATGGAGGTTTTCCCATGGCTTCACTCAGCTATTAGCCACCTCGGCAGGAAAGACGAAGTCTGAGTTGTGTTGCCTACAGCCAATAGATCAGTTATTGAGTAAATATGACCCTTTCTGCCTCAACAGTGAGGTCACACAAGTCACCTTAGCAGCACGAAGAAATCAATTCCAGCTAGCAACCACCTCTGACTTAGAGCTTTCTGAGCGCATGGAATTTCTGCCTCCGCGCTGATAAGGCCATACATATGTATGCACCGACCTTGCAACTCCCGAGGGCTCTGGTTTTTTCAGAATTCTGAATAAATCGAAACTGGAACATGTTTGGGTGGGGATACAGAAAGCTCCAGGAATGTCGGGACTCTGCTTTTATTTTTCTAAGTGGAAAGAAAGCAAGCTTTGAGAACAGACCAACAGAATGCAGCCTTGGAGGGAGGGGAGGACAATCCTTCCATTAAGCAGATCCAAACTCACCTGAAGGGAACCTAGCTATCCTTAAATGCTGAAGGTTGCCTGCTCTGGCTAAACAGCTCCAAGGGATTTGTTCTTTGGGCAGCAAAGGAAAGGAAAGAGGAGGGAGTAGGCAAGGCAGGAGTGAGAAAATCATGGCTGAGAATTATAAGATCTGCCTTGCAGTTCAAGCACTGCATGATCTCTCTTGGGACAGGAAGCCCAAAGCTTAGAAGAAGCAGAGAGCATTTACTGGCCCAGGGGTTTGAAAGTCTGCAAGTTGCTCTGAGCTTGTCTGCTACTGTCAGTCTCATTCATTCTCAGGCTCCAAAGGGTGGCAGAAGGGTCCCCAGCAGCTCCTGTCCTGAGCTGCTCCAGGCTCCACACCAACAGATAGAAAAGCCTCTCTGAACCTGGAGAGCTCCAGACGGGTGGATGGGAGAAGAGGACCTTGGTGCCCACAGATTCATAAATGTACAAAACAGCCTTTCTGTGAGTGTATGACCTTGTCCCACTTAATTTCCTTATTTATAAAATACTGTTGATTTTAAAGTCCCTGAGATCTCCAGATAGAAATTAATTTCTCTCCTTCTGCCTCTGCACAACTATTGAATATTTACTGTGTTCTAACAGGTGTTTTCCTATATAAACCTCTCTGTCTCTCTGTCTCTGTCTCTCTTCACTCTCCCTCTCCTCTGCTTGCACCTCTGAGCACATGGGAAGAGGCCAAAAGTCAATATCAGATGTCTTCTGCTATTGCTCTTAGTTTTTAGAGATGAGGTCTCCTGCCGACTCTGGAGCTCTGGCCAGCGGGCCCTAGGATCTGCCTTGTTTCCACTGTCCTGTCTCCAGCCTCTGGGTTCCAGACTCTCCTCCATGCCTAGCTTTTACTCGTGTTCTGGGAGTTCAAACTAGGTCTTTATGCTTGTGTTATGTTGCAAGCATTTTATGCACTGAACCATCCCTGCCTTCCTCCTAGTTGCTGTTCTTAATGCTTTATATTTTTATTTCTTTCTGTGTTGCAGATGTGTCTACAGGTGTGTTTGCTCCTGAGCCCTAGTATGTACAGATGCTAGAGGTTGACACTCTTCCTTCGTCATTCTCCATTACTTTGTTACAAAGTTTAGCAGTGAACCTAGAGCTCAAAGGTTGTCTAGACTGGCTGGCAATGAGCTCCATTGTTTTACTAGGGTCATCTATGTTAGGCTTGTACCATTAAAGGAAGTTAGAAGTGCAACTACCAAGGGACTTAATTAGAATATAAATGCTTATGGATAACTAGGTGTTCATGGCTTAAAGACTTATTTTTTATTTTTATGTGTATATATGCATGTCTCTCTATGTATGCCACATGTGTACAGGTGCTCTTGGAGGCTAAAAGATGACACTGGATGCTCTGGATGCTCTGGACACAGAGTTTCAGGTAGTTTTGAGCAGCTCCAGGGAGGTGCTGAGAGTTGAACTAGAATCTGCTTGAAGAACAGCAAGTGCTCTTAACTGCCAAGCCATGTATCTCTCCAGCCCCAACTAGATATTAATTTTAGGATGACATTGTTAGAGAACAAACATGTCTAACAATTAAGGTAGGCACAGTACTCCCACTGCCACTGTAATTAGAACAAAGAAAGTGGAAGTCAGTGACACAGGAATTGATTTGTCTTTTCTTTGGCATCTGGAACCTGGGAAGGCTCTGCTGTGATGGGTTACATGTTCATACCTGCAGTCAGAAGGATGGATTGGAAATTCTCAAGGCCCTGGATCTTCACATTCTAGTATTTTGTTTTACCTCAATGACTATTCTATGAAGTGACTCTTCCCCAAATGAAAGTGTGCTGCTACACAGTAACTGATGCCGCGCTACATAGTAGCTGATGCTGTGGTACATAGTAGATGAGACTGAATTACATGTAGCTGATGTTGTGTTACATAGTAGCTGATGCTCTGCTGCATAGTAGGTGATGCTGTGCTACAGAGCTGATCATAAGGCAGAGGTGGTTGTCCAGGGAACTAGTTTCAAGGATGCATAGAAAGTTTCATTTTTTATTGATCTAGGAGATAAATGCCCAACGAGAATTATCATAAAAAAAGAAGAGAAGAACGGAATGAATGAATGAAGGCAGGAAGGAAGGAATGAAAGAAAGAAAAGGAAGGGAGGGAGGAAGGAAGGAAAGGAGAAAGGAAGGGAGACAGAAAGGAGCATCAAGATTTATGTCCTAAAAAATAAAAAATAAATAAAAAAGATTTACCTTCTAGAAATGCAAGAATAGAGCTATTAGTTAACCAGAGACTGGCTATCTTTTCTAAAGAAAAATGCTGCTTGCTTCTCCCTCTCTCACCTCCCCCACTCCTCTGTATATGTGTGAATGTGTGAATGTGATGTGTGTGATTTTCCCAGGGATCTTATTTACAAATAAGTGAACGGCTTGCTTGACACTTGAAAATTCGTTTTGGCACTATTGTGCTTTTATTACAATATAATTAAATAGTGTAAGGAAACAGAAAGTATGTTCTGTATTCTGACATAAACATGAAATAACAGTTTTCACAGAAAATAAATAGAGATAGGGAAGAATGGAGAGAGAGAAATTGAGTTCATTTCCATCTAACGTTAGTTTCTGTTCCGACACTTTAGGCTCTATTGGTATGAGTGTTTTAGTTCTTGGGAGAGGAATGCTTCTAAGACAGGACACAACCCAGAACTCTGGAGCTCAGGAATAGATCTCTGAGTTTGAAGCCAGCCTGGCCATGTCTACGGAACTCTGGGATAGCCAGGGCTACACTGAAACACACTTGCTGGTGTAGTTGTCCATTTCTCTAATGGACCTCTGACTCTGAAGAGTTCTTATCTGCTTGGGGTTAGCTTAGTCATGTGTCTAGCGTCTGGCCTCTGAGTGAATACCAGGCTAGAATACCTCGTGTAGTTTGGTTCGTTCCTTGAACTCTAGCAGTCCTTCATGAGATGAGGGAGTATACAAGACTGCTCCTGTACGTTTAGCTCAGGTACCCAGACAGCACACACATGGAGCAGGTTTGAGCCAAATCCCAGCCCAGAGCTGATATGAGATTAAGTGTAGAGTAGATCTCACTATTGCAGCACACCTGGGTCAGCTAAGTGCATTCATCCT